CAGCTAGACCACACGAGAACCCTTCACGACAGGTAAATAACCTTGAAATTTACAATTGGCACAAATGAACTTCCGAACCAATCACTAAACGCAGGCATAAATGTCCTGATATATTGTTTGTTCTGATGATGTTTTTAAATTATAATTATTATCAATTCTTTTACATTTTAAAAATTTCCAGCAATTCTGGAGAATACTTTGAAAAGGTTGTTTGCTTTATGGTTGTTGCAACATATCAAAGCAATAGTGATAACCTGTGACCTAGATGAAACGATTTGTTTTTCAGAGACTAGTTAATGCATTACATTACAAAAAATTACTGGAATCCTTAACAATTTGTGAACTATTCAAAATGATTCTTCCACCATGGATTTTATTGAGTGGTCAATATTAAAACGTAAGGATGTAATTTATAACTACTGTTGCATATAATGGTTGGTCCAAATCTATTTGCTTTGGTGGTTCATAAGAACAGAATCATGTACAGACCAATTCCTATGAATTTGGCTCATGCTTATGCATTAATCACGGCGCCTTTGGAAATCCTTAGGTTAACTGTAGATGCAGTGCCATCTAGACATTAAGTAGTGCGAACTGATTCCATGTTAGTATCACCTTAAACTGAATTCCAACGCAGTCAATGACAAATTGAGATTAAGTTAATGGCAATGATTTTAAGGATATCTAGCACATGCAAAGAAAGTTAATGATAAATCAGAGAAAATTTTACCTAAGTATCTCAAAATTTTTATGCAATGCGCGAAAATCATGAAAATTTAGGACCTTGGATTATTATTTTCGACACACCAATAATTCGTTTTTGGGAAAAATTGATTTGAATATACAATGATGAAATATTCAAACAATAAAAACAGTTTCGCATATCTTTTGCTATGATGAAGGAACTCCGTTCTTTTTGTTTTATGCCAATTTTCTTACTACCAAATACAAGGTTTAGTCAACACAGTCATTTTCTTTGCACTCTACCCTGATGTTTGCTGCAAGTGGATTATCTTGAATGTCCATAAATGGGGCCAAGGCTTGATTTTTTAGACTGTCTTTGAGTAATATTTTGCACTCTTTGCTCGATTTATTTAAATCTTACTTAGTGAGGTACGTTTTGACATTTTAAACTTTGAACTTTTGCTCCCTGGATGTTTTACTCTCAACATAGAGCGAGCAATTGTGTTCACATTGTTCCTGCATAAAAATATGTGAATGCACGATAATTTTTTTTTAAATTGATATATTGCTTATAAAAACATCGCATTCTTCAATGAGCATCACCAATATTTACTTAGTTTCTTATGTTGTTTTTCAGTTGTGATTTAACAAATTTGCAAGTTCCACGTATATCGTATTTGTTTACACTGCTTATTGTTTATTGCGCTTATTGGACCACCGTATTTATTCAAATAACGCAACTTGATGATATACGTCAGCTGAGTTTGTTACTAACATACAATAATGCTTTGCATATTTAAATCCAACTCTTCTTCGAACGTAATAAACGCTGTACTCATCTTAACCCATAGTTTCTCAAATCTATTCTAGTCGCGATGAACGACTTGAGATTAAGCTCTAGGTTGTACTATTGTGCTTTGCTTACTTTGTTCATGCCTCAATGGAGTTGTTGTGTTTACGGACAGAGCCACGTTGAGTTGATTGTCACACCATTTATTTGTGAACAATTTAAAGCATTATAGCCAATAGAAAATCAATATTCTAGGAAACCGAGTCACGCTCTTCATTGGTTTAGAGCCTGTTCTGTTCTTATGCTAATGCACATGCAGAATACCCGAGCCCTAATAGGTAAAAGACCGGTACAACAGAACAGGCTTTATTGACCAATCAGAAGCCAGAGCCACGCTTCAGGCGCCTTCCATCTGAGTCCGCCACGCTGGCCACGCCGCTCATTATATACTGCATCTCAACCATGTCCTTCTCTGGTTGGCTGCCTTCCTTTCTCGCATGCCATTTGATCGCAGAGAGACACAAGATTGGCTGCGTCCAGGTGGTCCAACATGTCTGCACCCTGATCCGACGCCACACTGTCTTCCCCTCAGGAGTGGCTGCGGCATTGGCAACTAAGCGACGACGAATTGGACAGTGAAAGCCAGCTGGACTGCGTCTGCGAATGGACCTTCGATGGATGATGAGTTCATCCTGTAAGTCTACAAGAGCAAAGTCCCTCGTCAACTATTCGCATGGGCCACTATCCTGCCAGATGTGGGGTGCGGAAGTGTCGAACTGGATATTTTACCAACACTTGATTTCAACAAGAGTGCGGCGAACCAAGCCAGAAGCTGAGGGCAGCTTCACTCCTAAGGGGGAGGCAGTGTGGCGTCGGATAAGGGCGCAGACATATTGGACCACCTGGCCTCAGCCAATCCTGTGTCTCTGCAATCCATTGGCATGCGGGAAAGGAAAGCGCGACTGAGGAGCAGTAAGGACACGACTGAGGAGCAGTATATAACGAGCGGCGTGGCCAGCGTGATGGACTCGGATGGAAGGCGCCTGACGCGTGGCTCTGGCTTCTGATTGGTAAAGAAAGCCTGTTCTGTTGTACCGGCCCTTTTCCTATTAGGGCTCTGGTATTCTACATTGGTGGCAGCGGATACGTTCGAATAACGCAAATCGAACCCCAGCTCTTTATCTTCTATGGTCAACAGAGGTGAAGACCCTTGAATGCCAGCAGAATTTGTCATGGCGTTCATCTGATGTCCAAAAGAAAATGGATCCATAGACATTGCCCGGGATTAGGACTACTTCATCTGAAGACGCATTGGCAACTCAGCGACGACGACTTGGACAGTGGAACCCAGCTGGACTGCATCTGCGAAGGACCTTCAATGGAAGATGAGTCTTTCTTGCAAGTCTACAAGAGCAAAGTCCTTCGTCAATTGTTCGCTTTGGCCACTATCCTGCCAGATGTGGGGGGGGGGGAAGTGGCGAACTGGATATTTTAACAACACTGGATGTCAATAACAGTGCAAGGAACCAAGCCAGAAGCTGAGGACAGCTTCACTGCTGAGAAGGAGGCAGTGTGGCGACATATTATGGCGCAGTCATATTGGACCATCTGGCCGCAGCCAATCCTGTATCTCTCTGGGTTCCGATGGCATGCGAGGAAGGTAAGCAGCCAACCAGAGAAGGACAGGACTGAGGAGCAGTATATATTGAGCGGCGTGGCCAGCGTGATGGACTCGGATGGAAGGCGCCTGACGCGTGGCTCTGGCTTTTGATTGGTCAATAAAGCCTGTTCTGTTGTACCGGTCTTTTACCTATTAGGGCTCGGGTATTCTGCATGTACACCACAAAAACATTTGATTATACCTTTACTTTAAAATTTCTCCTCTTGTGTAATCAGAATCTAGGGTCAATCTAAATGAAAAAGAACCACGAATATTTAGCAGATTGCACAATCTGAGACTACATAATGACGCTATGGTACGGAGTTTTAAGCAACTGCATTCATTGTGGTTACAATTTAGATTGTCCTCTTTTGGCACAATATTTGAACGTGTTATGAGATGAAAACGCACATAAAAGGCCTTAAATTCATTGATTTTTCTGATTTTGGATCAGATTCATGACATTAAGCTTTCTAATTTATTATATTCTTGAAAAATGTAAAGGTAATGTTGACTCATGCTCTAAAAGAGCGCTTGGCACGTACACTACTTATTAGACATCAGTAGTTGAATGTGCTTGTGTTGACGGAAATGTTAGGTATTTTTTAAGATTCTGCCTAATCTTTGAGTGTTTATGAATGCGTGAATTTAATATCTTACTTCAAGGCCAAGAAACACATCTTTTCATTCACACCGATGCCATCTTTCACAAAACGTTAGCAACATGTGCTGGCGTAAAACTAGCGGAGACATCATTTGCGCTTTCATCCAATGAGTGCACGATTTCATGAATCCACCATTCCGTAGGACAGTTCCCCACTGCCAATGATGCTGGGTGATTGCCTGATTTGCATGGATGGAAGAAGAATGCATTTTGACCGTGCCCATGCTGCCTTCATGACCATTGCATTAACCAACATTTACTTAATTGTGTCGAGTGAGTCAGCACACTGCTTAAAACGTGCGTTTAAATGAATGTTTAAAATGGAAAAGAATGTGTTACATCATCCTATGGGGTATACATAAAGAGAGCCAGTGATTGAACCGCTATAGCATATATTTACAGCGCCTGTGTGGGTTGTAATGCCTCTCCCTAAGCACCTCCTTTTCTTTCTCGACACTTCACACACTCTATCTCCCCATATTTGCTTATCCCAACAACAACTTCTACAATATCTACTAATTCTGCTACCACGACCACGACCACCACCACTGCCACTGCTTCTGCTGCCGAATCAACACGACGTTCTCCTTTTACAACTCATTGTGTCCATGCATTTTATTTATGGTCTTTTACATTTCATGTTCACTCTTTTACGCTGGTGGTGCTGTTACATGCGGTGACATGCGGTTTATCTGGCCATTAACTTAGGGCTCCTAATGTTATTATTCCCACGGTATATTGCAATTAATAAACATATGGCCAATATATATATATATATATATATATATAT